TATTTTTTTAAAAGGTAGGGCAGAAAATGACTTCTATACTTTTAAAATTTGCACAAAATTTAGGAGGTCTTTAGACCAAGCCAACTATACAACAGTGGCAGTAGTAGATAGATAATTCATTTCGACTAAGGAATGTATCAATTATATTGAAAGTATTATTTTTTAATAACCTACAAGTTTGATATTTTTTATGTTCACTCTTTGGTATCATTGAAAGCCTGTCATAATATTTGCAAAAATTTTATCCAGAACGAGTGTTATAATTATGGCAGGCTCGTATTAATTGTGCCCAAAAAAAAATTTCCTGATGGAAATACATGGTTGCATTAGATTTTTTAACCTGGTGGCAAGAGTATACTTGCATAGATCCAGAGTGGGTTGTTCTATTAAATCCAATACCTAGGCTCAATATGTTAGATTTATTATTATTCATTTTATTTTTTCAAAAAATGGAATCCACAACTTGGAATTGTATACAATTGAAATGGGAAAACGAACGATTTTATCTCGGATATCATTTATTTTTTAAAAAAATTGGTTTCTTAAAAGTTTTAATCTTGCATGGTCTTAGTATTATCATTAAAGTTTTCGGCCCAAACTACTTTCGAAAAAGAAGTAGCTTTGGCAGTAGTTTGGGCTCCTCGATATTTTTTACAAGAATGAACATGAGATACGAATAATAATAATTCGAATGAAACGAATAATAATAATTCGAATGGAACGAATAATAATAATTCGAATTAAAATAAGAATTTGTATTTACGAATAGAAACTCTACGACTTTTATCCTTCTAAGTAATGTAGGTGGACTCATCTCAACTAAATGTCTATGCCATTGAATTCTGCACTAAAATTCCAGACATAAAAATGAATGTCAAAAGAAATTTTTTTAGCCGGCTAAGCCGTTTAACAATTCCTTAGCCGGATAACATCACTAGCTATTGTATTATTATTAAGTTTTATTATATCTAACACCCCTCAGTTGCAGGTATTTAGTAACAGGAAATCTATTTTTATTACCACCACCTTTACTTTGCCTTCCTTCAAAATATGAACAGCAGAAGGCTCCCTCCTCTCATCATTGTATTATTACATTCTCTTATTATAATGTCTTCTTCTATTTTAAATGAATGAAAATGAAATCAATTTATTTACGCAAGATATTAATTATCACTTTTAATTTATTATATTCGGTTAATAAATCAATGAAAAAATCAAATATCCGATTCACTGAATATTCATTCACCTCTTAATTTTTTATCAACAGAAGATCCTGCTCACAAAGGACCTTGATATCGCATTAGGAAACATGAAAAATCTGAGTATAATTATCAAGATAAATCAGGTATCTATGCATCACCTCATACGGAGGATATTAAACAATTAAATAAAAACATAAAAGACAACAAAACTAAAGCACATTATAAACTACTAATATCATTTCAAAAGTCGCAGCTAATATCTTTATCTGGTAGCCCACAGGAATTAGCGATACGATTTTTAAAATCTTGGGTTCTATACTTTTTAGTAAAGCGATCAAAAGTTGTTATTACTACTCTTTACATAAAAACTATATTATTTCCACATTTGTGGAATTTACGCATGCGCGTACCTATATAGATCAGGAAAATATTGTGGAGATCAATATTTATATATTAATATTAATATTGTTTTTCTTAGTGCGCAGCAAAAAATTTCTAAAAGGGATCAAAAAAGAGAATCACGCACGAATTAAAAAAAAGTATATCAATATTAAAATAAAAAAGCAATACCATTCTATTTTACAATTCTATTCTGATTACTTTTTCAATTTTCTCACCAAATTCTAACGTAAAATACTCGTACCATTTTCTCTTTTAAAGTTGATTGATTGGGACACGAACTTAAAGAATAAAATTAAACTTCTTAAATAGATTTTAGGTTTAGTAACAAAATTTATATACAACGTATCACTTAAATCATTTTTTGTTAAGGGGGGGGGATTTAATTCATATGTACGAGAAAACTTTAATTTTTGAATAAAATAAAAAACTATAAAATAATAATATGGACGAATTGTCTAAATCATTTTTTGAGACATCTCATTTTGATTCTAGACTGTCACCAGACTCAGAAATTATTAAAGAAGTCAGCAAATCATTGTCAGCTTCTTTATTCACTGAGCCTTTAAACATTAGCATTGGAAATCCTTGGGACCTTCCTTCAATAAATGGAATTGATGTTTCCAACATTTTATGTAAGGTTTTTTAAATAAAGAAATACTCAATAATTGCATTCACAAATGATAATTTTATTATTATTTTCCATTATTAGCTGATGTTTATTTACCTGATGTATATGCAACTACATTTGCACTAACTTCTCCAAGTGGTGGGTCAGTTTCTATTTCAGCTTTAAACAAAATTTTAAGTATTAGTGGTTTATCTCATGCAACAATCGAAAAGGTAATCCATCATTATTTTACTTGAAGTGGTAATTGAATAATAATAATAATAGTGATGGTGATAATAATAATAATATATGTTAATAATTATTAGATTATAAATTTAGCAGTACCTGTTAATAGTACTTGTATCAACAGAGGAGAATTCAATGTTGCGCTTGCGTTAGTAGCTTTGGCACAAAAAAATATGGGTAAACAAAATTTGTGATTGATCTTTTAATTACTTAAAGATTTTGATGAGGGTGATGTTATTAAATATATTATTATTATTTTAAATTTTTTTTGTAGATGTTTCAATTGATAACCTGGTTGAGAGAAAACATGGTAGAAATAAATCTTCAATGTTATTTTATTTCATTTTAATTTTTACCAAAAAGAAAAAATAAACAAATAATCAATTACATTTGATCTAGATCTTCCCGAACCAATCCTTACAAATATAGAAAGTATCGATTTTAATCGCAATTTAAGTTTCTCTAATATCACATCTCGTCCATCATCAATTCTGGTTCTTCAGGATGATGATCCTTGGGCTATTTCATCAACAACGAATGGTATTGACATTATAACATCATCACCATCAACGTCTGCTGCAATAGGAATATCAGGAGAAACTATGACATCAACTTTTTCACCAATCATATCAAATACAATAATATCACGATTTCCAAGTGATAGCAACGGTGCAAGTACTATTTTACCAAATATTAATAGGACTTTGATACTAGATGATCGTGAGTCTCATTGGTTTCTAGATGCAGGTATCATTAAAGTGAAATTTGCTCCTGAACATGAAGGTTTTCTATTCAAACATGTTAATTACATTGTTGAATCACAGGTAAATGATCAATATATTTGAGAAGAAAAGATGAATAAAATATAAATATTTATTTAAATATATAAATATAATTATGATACATACATAGAGACAAGAAAGTAAAGTTATAAGAAGATATAGTGATTTTTGGTGGCTAATGGAATGTTTGGTGAAAAGATATCCATTTAGAATCTTACCTATCTTACCACCCAAAAAAATTGGAGGTAACTATATTTGATTTGTACATATGTGTGTTATTTATATATAGGTGATTTTAAATATAGATATAAATTAACAAAATTACTATTTATCATAGTTAACGTATTTTATTTCACACATGATGAAGCATTTTTGGAGAAACGGCGGAAAGGCTTGGCAAGATTTTTGAATTTTATTGCAAGACATCCAGTTTTAAAAAATGATGATTTAGTGGAAATGTTTTTAACCGAACAAACTGTAAATATCGATTAATTTTTATATATATTATATTTATAATAGAACTACATTCATACTTTTCATACTTTACGATTTTATAGGAAATAGCAGTATGGCGTAGGAATAATGCACCAGATTTAGATGAAGAGTTTTTTAAAAAAGAAATTTCATCACAAATGGAACAACGCATACCTGGGGATTTGAATGCAAGGTTAGAAAGTGTATATAATAATTTGGATCAATCTATTGAACATTACTTAAATATGTGTAATTTCATGGAACGTATTGCTCGTTCTCAAGAAGGCACAGCATCTGATTATATGCGTTATAGTTTGTCTTTAAATTCATTGATTGAGAATGAGAAGGATTGCTTCATAGAAAATTGTTGTAATTGTTCACAGATGATGGATGGTTTAGAACAAGTATCAAGTCATTTTCAACATGCAAGTACCATCATGGAAGATGCTGTAAGTAATTGATAACTGAATTATGAATTGTAATTATTATTATAATTAATATTACAAACGTCTTTAATGCTTATTTTATTTGTGAATCAATCAATCAATTAGGCTACATCTATTCTTGAAACTGTTCTTGAGGATTTGAAGAGACATCGAGATTTACTCTTGTCATTCAAGGTGTGATATTATAATTAAATTTTAAATAAATTTATTTATATCAATAATAATTTCTACCACTATATCTATATAATATCTATTACATTAATATTTAATTAATCACTTGATCAATATAATATATACCAGGATACGTTTGAGAGAAGGGATAGATTAGTAATTGATACTAGTGAGACTCTTAATAATAGAATATCAATAAATCAAGCAAAACTTAAATCATTATCAAGCCAAAAAACATCAGATCCGGAAGTAGAGAAATTGGCATCTGCAATTCAAAAGGTAATATATATATATTATATGCTTGTGTGCATACTTGTGTATGTATATGCTTGCATATTATAAACAAAATTATTATACATTCCTTATTTATATTTAAATATTTTCATTAAATATATATATTGTGCATATTAATATTCAATATGTCTCCGTCATCCCTATATCCCCATATCCTCATTATCTAATATTTAGCATCTAGTATTTATTCTAATATCTAATATCTATTCTCTAATATTTAATACTTCTCACACTTCACATTTTCTCGTATTTTAGGATGAAGGTGATCTTAAAGTTCAACTTAGAAAACAAAATTTTGTACGTTATTGTATGCATTCAGAACTCAATCTACTTCATAAAAGTTCAGCATTCGTCTCACTTCTATATCGAAACTTTATAAATGAACAAATGAAATACACACACCAACTTTATAAAAATTGGGATGTACTAAATCCTAAAGTTCGTGATATGCCAATTGAAACCAACGGGTTTGGTTAATTTAGCTCATTTTTGTTTATATTATATATATAGGCATATATATATATGCAAACGTTTATATATTTATTAATATTTATAAAAAAACTCAATGAGATTTAGTAAAGCATAAACAAAAATTGGTTATTATTATTATCTATAACTGACATTTTTTATTTCTTAAAAGAAAATTTCATTAAATGTTTTGACTAAAATATCAAGTAACTTCAAAGTTATTTACATATTTATATCATAATTGTTGATTCTTAAACTTATTTAATTAAACTAGCCTTTTATTTACATTTATTTCTTTGGCACAAATATCGGGACCCTGGAACAGGTTGAGAGGAATTAATTATAATTTATTTAATTATTAGTTTTTTATTTAATAACGGCCATTATCAAATGTGACAAAATAATTACCGGGAACAATAATTTCACAACATTAAAAATCATGATGCTTACTAAAGAATATGAAATGACAAAATAATTTAACTTGTTATTTTAGAAATATTTCTTACAATGGGTTGAACCATAATATTTTGAACTTTTGTTACCATCTTTACCTTGATATTTATTTATTATATATATTAAGTTTCTTCTAGTTATTAAAAAATATTATATTACATTTTAGATTGGTTTGTCACAAGAGTAGTTAAGTCACAGATGATTTGATTTGATTTTTTTTTGCCTTGGATTCTTTTCCTTTGAATTAGTTCTTTTCTTCTTAGGGGTGTTCTCACAATTGGCAAAAAATTGAATTGATGTAGGAGGTGGAGTAGAACATTGTTCATTTAATTCTTTTAACAAATCATATGATTCACCATTATCATTATCATCATCATTATTCAGAATATCCAGAACTTGTAGGTTATTCTTGATAATAATCTATTAAAATAATTAGTATATGAAAGAGAAGTAAATAGCTTCAATAATCTTTTTCATACCTTGTATTGATATATCCTTGCTAGAAATTTAAGAAAGATCTTAATCCATTTTTTGAGAATTTGCTATGTATGTTGAAAGATTGAGGATCTTTGCAAAAAATACAAATCGATCCTCCGGCACACCATAATCTTACAAATTGAATCCATAATCCAAGGTGTAATATACCAATTACTTGGAGTTTGTCTGCTCTTTGATCATCATAATTTACAGCTCTGATCAAACCAGAATACATATCTTGAAGAGACTTTGGCATTTTGAATTCTTCATCAAGATATTTGTTGTCTGAGACACCCTTAAAGGACCTTGCACCTTCTATGGCTCCTAATTTGAGAAGCTCATCAGTTGTATATATTATTCCATCAATTTTATGACCAACGGACTTTCTTTTACATGTATTTACTTTTCAATTTCTATTCTTCTGGTTAGCACTACTTGATGATGGTGCATCAATCCTGTATACAGTTATAAGCTATATTAAAAATATGAGTTGATGATGGTTTATTGTTTATACTAGTAGAAAATAGTTAACATTTTAATATCAGTTCCCAATCTAATATCCCTAAGACAGAAGTCAATGCATGTTCCAAGAAGTGCAACTGTAAACCAATGTTCGTATTGTATTCTTATTAGAGGAGCATCTATGTTTTCATATAGATTTACAAGTGTTCGAATGGTCAATTGAATCCATTCTTTATCAAAGAGTTGGCAAATTGACTGGTCCATTGAGAACAGATGGATTTTGGACTGGTCCATTGCAATTAATAAAATACTAAATATGGTCAAAGCATTACACTAATGGACCCAATGGACCACCAATAGGCCATCAATGGACTGCACATTTGCCAACTCTGCAATAGATGGCCAATATTACAAAGTGTTCGATTATGAAAATATCTTGGATAAATCCCATGCAAGTTCTTTATAACTTGTTACTTTTATGATGACAAATACTATTGGACCATCATATTGGTTATATTGTCAGTTGTGGTTACTTTGATATATAACAAAGTGTATTGGTGTATCTCTTCATTTCTTGTGTGAATGTATTGATGCCATACATTTTATTATAAAATATAATTACCTATAATGATAAATATATGTAGATAGCATCATTTATATTTATATTCATTTATAAACAATATTTAATAAAAATAATATTCTTTTGGTATAACATTGCCTGAACACAAGGTGAAGAATTTTCTCCTGTGTCTAAAATTCAAAGGAATGTGAACGTGTTGCAAAATCAGACCTAATACTTGCCTTCTTAAATGTTTCTGGAGAAAAAAAAAAAGAGTTAATCAAAGAACCAGAAAGATAAATTAGATACAAAATCACAAAATTTTGTTCTTAATTTTATTGTATATAATAATAATAATTGGTTTTTTAACAATAGAAAGGGTTTATAGAGGTATCATTGTTAAATTACAAGAACTAGGAATTATCCAGATTAAATTTAACAAATATAACATTCTTCAATATAATATCAACCACCATTATTTTTAAGGAAAATTTTAGAACCTAATGTTTTGCATCAACTCTCAATGATTGATAGAAACATTTCCAAAAAGTTACAAGATAATATTTTGGCCAATATGTGCCTGAAAATATAAATCACATAAAATCTTATTGTTTTTAAAATAATGTTTGTCCCTATGAATTATTTGATGATGACATCAAGACTTAGAGCTAATGTTCAATATAATAATATACTAAAAAAGGGTATCATTATTAATAACTATTGTTATCCTGCTTCAGAATTATAAAATTTTTAGTTCATTCTATTTTGTAGTAAAATGTCATTCAAGGCTAATCTAAGGAAAAACAAATTTTATTTCTAGCACCTACCTTGAATAGGTGCTCTCTCTCACACATGAGGGAGCACCCCTACTTTAAAACAATTGAGTGTCAATATTCAAAAAATGTTACACATGTAAAAAGGGGATGCTATCTTTCCAGACTTTACGGTAATAAATAATGTAACAACAATAATAAAAATAAAAACTTTAAAACTTATATACAATAGAAAGCTTTTTTATCAGGATTTTGAACATGTTGAATGATGTTTTCAGGTATATATTTTTTCTATCAGAAGTTAAACCTAAAGGATATTTTTCTTTTAAGACAGCATCTATAGTAAAATTTTTAGTTGTGTATTTAGCTATTAGTTCACCATCAATACTTTTTTTAACATATACAGTCCCTGGCTCTTCTTGATTAAAAATAAAATGATGATAACTTAAAATATTTGATAATGGTTTAAAAATTTTTTTTAAATATTCAGTCCAGTTGTGAAAAAAAACTTTTCCTTCACCATTTTCATAAATTGTTTGAGCATTATTGTACCCACCATTTGTTGATGATTTTACAATTTTAATAAGATCCTCTAAATCATCAACTTCAGAATTTTTAAGTTTCAATTTAAACAATCCAAAAAACCCATCACGGCTAAATTTTGTATGGCCAGCTACCATAAAAGAATATGTAATTCTTTTATGCTTACCTGTTAACACTCTCCAGGCCAAATATTGGATCATTGCATTGTTTTTATTTTGACCAGAACAATTATCTGCATGAATTATTCTTCTTCTTCACCAAGACTATATTGTTCAAAATAATTATGAACTAAAGAAATCATAGTATCAGCTCCTTTACCAATATACTGTGATTCTTCTATAAGATAATTAATCTAAATAAATAATTATAGTTATATACTATATTTCAAAGAGTTGACCAAAAATTTTCAAAAGAATTATTATTTCACCTGTCTAGGCCTAAAATCCTCACAAATGCCAAACACTTGAACTTTATATAAATATTTAAAATATGTACTTGACTGTTTATTTAATAATAACAATAACACAATTTAAAATTAATTACCTTTGAAAAAATTATATGTAAATAAAGAATAATATGCATACCACTTGTTGTGAAGAATATGGGATATGAACTTGTTCTGCAAAATCCTATGAAATGTGAAGTTTAATTTCAAGTGAATTTGCAGGTCTAATGGGGTTTGAATCTTGATTTAGTTTTTCAAATGCTTCCTTTGCATCTTTTATGCAATCTCTAAAAAAAAATAACAAATAAACTCAACAACAATCTTTAACAAAAAATTAAAAAAATATATAGAATGATTAGTACCTATAATATTCACGCTCTTTCATTGCCCATGTAATATGGTCATTCCATTTTTTAACTTTCACTTTCTTTTCTCCTGGCATCCAATAATTTGCATTGAACCTATGCTCTTTGCAAGTATGGCATAAATCACTTCTTGGAGCAAGGAATTTTATTTCTGGAAGGTATGTGTGCCATATCTTTTGAAATGTCTTATTTGAGATACATTTCAGAATTTTCTTTAACTGCATCATTAAAATATTTAAATACAGTGGAATGGTTTTCATCTGCTGGGAGAAAGATACTAGGCTTTGTGTCTTTTTTAAATTTTCTTCCTATAATGAATTTAATAAAATTTTCATTTTCAAACTTGAATAATTTATATTTACCTGGAGATGGCAGTCCATTTGTATTAGAATAATTTAATATAAACCTAATAATCTGTAAAACTCCATCAAATGGTATTGCCCTGTTACTTACTTTTCCCATTAAAGAATGTGTTCTTGGTTGTATATCAAAATCATTATAATGACTTCTAATATTTTTCCATCTTCTTTTGCCTATGCCATAAATACCCATGAATGCAATCCTACAAATCTCAATCCCCCAAAAAAATAAATGTTTGCCAATTTTCTCCTTTTTCTCCTTTAGTAGTTATTTCATCTCTCGAACTTACAGAAAGAATAACTTTTAAATAAATATCCTGTTTAGTCTTTTTTAAATTAAGAAAACATTTATATCTGATTTTAACATCATTAATATTTAAATTCTTTTTCAAGCATTCTTTTTGACAGCAATCCTTTTTTAATAAATTTGCTGCATAATGTTCAATGTCATGATCTATTTCCATTTGCTCTTCAGAGTCAATAATTTGTTCATCATCCATTATTTTATTTTTATAATAAATATTTTCAAATTTTTTATTTGTTCTTTAGATAATGTTTCTATTTGATGATCATTTTCTTCTTCTGCTTTATCATGACTTTCTTCCACTTCACTAGTCATCAGGAAATTTTCCCCGTCACAATATTGCGTCCATAAATTTTAATATGTAAAGTTGTAATATTTGCATAAAAATTATGTAATATTTACACTTGATGTAATAATTGCATAATTTTTGTATGCTTATTTGCATAATATTACAGGCCTGCCGTAAACTTACGTAAATAGTGTAATAATTACATAAATCTACATCAGAAAAATTTCCTGATGATTTTCTCAGCAGTTCTTTGTTATCTGCCTGAGCTGGCATGTTGCAATGATATTTATAATATTTGAAGTATCCATCATGATACTTTCTACACTGATTATTATATTTATGATTCAGTCTCTTAACTGACCTCACCTAACTAGGATTTCCACTATTTAGATGTCGGCCTAATCTAAATAAAAATAAGAAAAATAAAATTAAAAGAAAATATGCACACAACTATACTTATCAAAGGCGTCCCCCTGGTAAGATAGTAATTAATTAATAATTAAGTTAGAGTTAAAGGTTTATGTGGTTTTGGAAGTAGGTGGATAATTCCACTGGCAAAAGAGTATTTTGAGAGATATTTATGTTTGTATTTTTATTAATAAGATATTATTGTTATTACAAGATAATAGTTAAGAAATGAATTAACTGATTATTACATGAAAGAGAAATTTACAACATATTTATACATGTTAAAGGTTCTATCATCTAGTTATCTGACTTTGTTGAAATCCTAAT